CCATCCATCCATCCATCCATCCATGTATCCATCACCTATCCCTGTATCCATCCATCACCCACCCACCCTTGTATCTATTAGCCACCCATCCACGTCAGTTCCCTTCCCTCCTTCTTTATCTACCACCCATCCATTCTCCATTCCACCTGCTTTGAGGCCATATAACACACTAGGCAGGCTCTATGCTAGAAGGTTTGGGATACATCAGCATCAACAATACTCCCTGAGGAATTTCTTGGCATTTTCCTCAAAACTGAGGGACAGAAGGGAATCCTAAAGTCTGCAGCCCCATCCCAATAATATAAGAACCCTTCAAAGCCACAGAGGAGAAACATGACTATTTATGGTCTCCTTATCCAAGAAAGGAAGGAAACCTGGAGGCAGGTAATCCTGACAGACGTACCAGGTAATTACTGCTCCCCTGAATCATCTGCCTCTGATCAAAAGAGAGGAGTCTTCCTGCTGTGTTTAAGAGGAAGATTATTCATTTATAACCAGGGCTCTCTGTTCCTCTATATCTTGTTCTGAGTTGGATAATGCCTTAAAATTATTAGGCAGATGCACATAAAAGTAACACCAATAATATTTATGATATCTTAATGAAGATGTTTTGAAAATAACAGAATGAGAGGATTTGTTGGGGCTCTCTGACTCCACAATCCATTGCTAGGAAAAACCTAAGCAGGTGTTACTACGCCCCTGGTGGCAGGCACCTGAAATTGCAGGCATAGTGCTGGGGCATTGCTTGCTGAACTCCAAACCAAACTTAAGAAGGTTGCAGGGTTTTTTTGTTTTTGTTTTGTTTTGTTTATTTTTTGGTCACCCCAAGGAAAGCATTTGTAGCCTTAACATGCAGGGAAAAAGAAAACCCAGGATTGTGTCTGCATCTCCCTTGTGCCCCAGACCTGGAATACTCCGGGATCGACTTACCGAGATTTCTTTTCCCATGCCAATCTGGCTGAGGCTGGGCTTCATGCCTGTGCCCATCTGCCATATTATTGCCTCGGCTGGTTGGGTCTTGAAAGGCCACTCCCTGGCATGGAGTTCGTACCAGATCGTGCTGTTGGCAGACAGATTAGAGGGGTGCTGATGTGGTTCAGCATGCTGACCCTGCACCCTCCTCACCAACGCCCACCCACCCCATCCTCCTGGCTGACCACTCCTTTCTCCAATTTCTTCGTCCTGGGGGTGGCATCGTGCCCCCTGGGACCCAAGTCAAGCTCTCTCCACCTCTTAGGCATCATACTTATTTGGGGATACTCTCTGTGATGCCTGAATTAAAATGAACCAAATCGAAGAAGCTGAATAGTTTGCTAGATAACGGTGCGGATCTCTGACCCTGCATCTGTAGTTCTAGGAAGCCACTGCAGGTGAATGATTGGGGACATCCATTCCCTAGCCAGGATGTTCTCCATGACACTGTAGATAATACCAAAAAGATGAGAACACAATTCCCAGTAAGAGAATTTGGTTGTCTGTGTCATGGTAAATCCACACAGTGAAATGGAAGATTATGTTGTGATGAGAACATTTCAAAGAAATTTTGCTGACATTAAAAAAAAAGAAATGCTCCACAGATTTTTTCTAAGTTTAAAAAGCAGGACACAAGACTGTACATAGGGTCTGAGGTTATTTTTTTAAAAAAAAATCATTATATGCATAAAAGACTAAGATATAACAGTGAAATGTGAACAGGGGCTAACTCTAGACCGTCAGAGTTTTCTTCTTTTATACTTGAGTTTTCTAAGTATGAGCCATTCTTTACAACGATGGAAAGACTAAGAGGAGGAAAACAGGTTTGCAAATCCGACTGATGGGATTCTTCTAGCGAAATGATACGGGGAGGTGACTTCAGCCCCCAGCACAGGTGTTCTTAGGTGCCAAAAGAGAATCGTGATGAAAGTGGGAGAACTTTTATCTGGGATGCTGAGCAGTGGAGGAGTTTGATGCTACAGTTATCCGGGGAGGCTTATGTGTCATCATCTGCTTTATAAATCATGACGTTGTAACGAGCAGAGAAAAACTTGCTTAAGGTTCAGAGAGGTTGTGTGCCTTATCCAGGACCACACAGCCCATCAGAGGGGCAGCTAGGTGTTGAACCCTGTCCAGTGGACTCAGAGCATGCTGTACTGGGAAGCTTGTACTCCATCCCACTCGAAAGCCCTTTGTCATCAGGGAAGTGAGGATTTGGGGGTACAACCTTGTAGCTGATGGTCGGAGCTTGGGGAAGGAGGTACAAATGGATTGTGGGAGAGGGGAGGGTTCCCTTCGGGGGCTCTTCCCTGTCCTGGGTGCCTTCTAGATGTTTTCTCATTCAGTTCTTAGAACTCCGCAGTGGGTTTTGTTATCCTTGATTGACAGGGGAGGGAAGCCGGGCTTTGGCTGGCAACATCACTCCCAAGCCCACTGGGGCTGCAGGGCTAAAGCTCCAGCCGTGGCCACAGGTGTGCATCCCAGCTCCTGCAATGATTGACAGAAGGCCAAGCACCGAGCCATCCGGGGGCCTCAGTTTTCTCACCTGCCAATTGGGAAGAACGTGGTCCCCAGGATATAAATCACAATGGCAGGAGACGGCATGCGCACACAGAAAAGCTTAACGCAGCGCTCAACCCACTTTTAAAAGTTCAGTGTTGCTCTCAGTCATCCCTGAGCACGAGGCTCCCAAGCAACAGGATGCTCCTAATTGGCAGGAACCCAAGAGCGCCAGGTCCTTCGCAATTCAGCAGTGTCAGAAATAAAACCCTCATTAAAACTTCCTTTCAAACCTAACTTTAAGAGAAATTCACTTGCAGAAAAAAAGAATTGCTCAAGATGAAAATTCCAGTGGAAAACCAATTACTTACTCGGGTACATTTTGTTAATTGCTTTTTTTTTTCCCCCAGTGCTAAATGTACACTAAAATATACCAACTTAATTACTGCAATTTGGTTTCAGATAACAATATCTAACTAGATAAAGATTTGGGCATTAACTAATCAAGGCGAGTGACAGCCTTTAATGGGGCCCAAGTGACAGATGTTGAGAATCCTGGTCTCCTCAAAAACCGCGCATCGGGGGTGGATGAGGAGGGGGCGGTGAGGGTGCTTTGCCAAGGGAGACTGTCTCTCTGTCAAGTCTCAGCAAAACCGAAACATCTACAGGCCTGCGATGTGCCCAGACCCTTCCCCAGCGTGGCCCCCAGCCCTTGGGTCCACGCCATGGACAAGACCAAGCAAAGATGAGCCACACCCCAACCCCAAGAGAGGATCTTGAATGTTTCTATCACAAAGCAATTAAAGAATGACAAGTGATAACTGTTTAAGGCGAAGGACATGGTAATTATCCTGATTTGATCATGACACAAGTATCCAGGTATTTAAATGCTACATTGTACCCCATAAATACATGCAATGATTCTGCACCAATTGTACCTAAGATAAAACTTTTAAAATAGAATACAAAGGAGGTGCTACTATGTAATCTCTGAGACTAGGTCCCAGGGGTCACTCAGGTTCCCAGCCGCCATGCTATTAGCTCACTGAGGCACGTGAGGTGAGGGAGGAGCTGAGGCCTCCCCCTGACAGCCATGTGAGTGGCCACCTGGGAAATAGCTCCTGAGTCCCCCCCAGCCTTCCGAGGAGACCCAGCCCTGGCACTGGCACCTTGTGACAAACCAAGGACAACTCAGAGTCATTCAGGGAACCTCCCTCAAATCCCTGACCTAAGAAACTGGAGATGAGAGATTTGTCCTGTGTTGCTCAGTTTGGGGGAAATTTGTTACACAGCAATCCATAACAGATACAACCCTGAATCTTACATCAGCAGCATCTGATGCTGTCCTAGCACACTGTCGGTATTTGGTACATAGTTTTTGAATGAGTGAATGGGTTGGGTAACTAGTTATGGCCACATAATACCCCACTCAGATCCCCCCAGGGGCACTCAGATCTAGCCACCATGCTCCCCCCCACAGGTGCCCTTGGCCCTTGCAAATGCCTCAAAGGAAGTCTAGGGGAGTGACCTCTGCCCAGGCAGTGGCTCCTGATGGCCCCGGGGGACCACCTACCCAAGTGCAAAGACGTCCGAGTGCTTGGAGAAGGGGAGCTTGTCCTCCTCTGTGTCGGGGGACAGCTGGCGGATGATCTCCGGCGCCAGGTGGCACAGCCAGCCGTTCTGGATGCGCAGTTTGTCTTCTCGCCTGGAGAAGCGAAGCACAGAGTGAGCTCAGCTTTACAGCCCAGAGGACCAGTCCCCCCACCCCTGACCCGAGTCCCCAGAGTTTTTTTTTTTTGTTTTTTTTTTTTTTTTTTTGCGGCTGGGTTTTTTTTGCTTCCCTCCTGTGGACACCGCCTGATCCTCCACAGGAGGCTGAGACCCAGGGGAAGGTGCAGGAAGAGAGGTAAAGGGAGCATGACCGAGAGAGAACTCAGCCTCCAGACCATCGCTGGGTCTCCTCGGAGGGACCCGGGCTTGGCTGGATTCCAAGCTGCAGCCGCGGGAACCCAGCCAAGCTGAGGGTTCGCTGGGCCTCAGCCCGCTGGGGCATTTGGTCAGCGGCTTAGCACAGGTGTGCCACACCAGGACCCCGGCCACTGTCCCCGCCTGCAGCCTCATGCTAGGAGGAGACTGGCCCGTAAGTGACGGGCTGCTTATGTGGCCAGGTGATACCAACACCTCTGTTCTCATTTAGGGGTCCTCAACCTTGGCATGATTGGCACTTAGGTCTGGAGAGCTCTTTGTCACAGGCTGTCCTCTGCAGTGTGGCAGCACAGCTGTCCCCCACGCCCCCTGTTGAGACAACTAAAAACATCTCCAGACGTTGCCAAAGGGCCCCTGGGTATGGGGCACGTCGGCCCTGGTGAGAGTCACTGTTCTTATCTAAAACAACGGAATGACCAGTGGTCTAAAATCCAGTGTTTCCTCATTAAAAACCCGAGGCTGGCCCCTGGGTCATGCACCACGGCCAGGCCAGGACACGTCCTCGGCTAGAAGGACCCATGGGTGAACCCTGGAGCCGCAGAGTGGAGGGGGTTCTCACTTCCAGAATCAGGGGCACCTGCGAGGCCCAAGGATCTCGTGTTGCTGGCCGTGTGAGGGACGCTGAGCAGCCCCGGGCCCTCGCTCCCATCTGCAAATGGGACACAGCAATCTGCAGTCCCACGGCTGGTGCAGGGCGGCCACCAGGGCCAGATGAGGTGGACACGCTCATGACCTGGGCTGCCCCGTGTCCCTGTACACACACAGTGTGTGTGACTTGGAGAACGCGGGGTAATGTATGCAGTCAGTGTGCACGTGACGCACCAGGTCACAGGTGTTGTGTGTCTATACCCTTGAGGTGGACCAGCCATTCTCCTCACATGACAGAGGTCATCGGGGACGGGTGGCCTGCTGTGGCCACAAGGGCAAGCTTGCCTGTTCCCATGTCACCCCAAATGCCTGTCCTGCTCTTTCTGCCTCGCTGGGTCAGCCAAGGACCGGCATTGCGGGGTCACCAGGACAGGATGAGTGTGCCACATAAGCACCATCAGCCGGGACAGGCATGGGCCCATGCCTCGGAGGGGACCAGGTGCCAGGCCTAGCACAGACGCCCTGGGGTGCCATGTTCCCATGGTGACGGTCCTCCAAGGGCGAGCCCGAGTCATCTTCACTATGATTATTATTATTAATCACAGGCTGCGGGCGGCTGGCGCGAGGGGGCTGGCCCCGTCAATGCCACCTCTTGGGCGGCTGGGGCAAGGGGCTGGCCCCGTCAATGACACCTTTTCTTGGTGGCAGCAGAACAGCTGTGTGCTGGGGTCTCTCTGGATGGGCAGAGCACGCTCACTTTAAAGTGACCCAATAAAATGAGCACGCCCCAGGCCAGGCATGTCCTCTGCTGAGCACCGGCTGTATACTAGGTTTCCCATCCCACGTAAACCCACCCTGGAAGGGCACCATCTCTATTCCACAGGTGAGGAGACAGGCTCAGTCCTGTAAATGACCTGCCCAGGGTCTCGGAGGTAATAAGTTATTAAATGAGCCAGGGCCAGTGTGACTGTGTCTCTACTCCCCGGCCCCTGGACTAGACCCCCGAGAACTCTGCCTGGGCTTTGGGGGACAGCACCCCTAGGAAGCAAAGCCCAAGCCCTAGTAATCGGTCACATTTCATCTTTGAAATCGCCATGTGAGGAAGGCACTATTGATGCCTGCCTCCCACCCCCATTTCACAGATGAGGAAACTGAGGCTCGGGGGGTCAGATGTGTATTTAATAAAAATAAGTTGCTGTCATCGATTCCCGTGGTGTTTGTGGACCGCATGGGTCCCTCTTGAAGTTCATTTGCTCAAGCCCTGACCCCTGACGTGACTGGAACTGAAGATAGGGCATTTATAGGAAAGGAATTAAGTCTGGGCCCCTCATCTAATAGGACTTGGGTCCTTATAAGAAGAGGAGGAGTCCTCATAGATGTCTCTTCTCCTGAGTCACAGAGAGGCCCTGTGAGGTCACCGTGAGAAGGAAGAGAGCCCTCGTCAGAAACTGAGATGCCACACCTCAATCTGGAACTTTCTAGTCCCAGAGCTGTGAGAAAATAAAGATCGTTTGTTTAAGCCGAGCAGCCTGTGGCGTTTTGTTATAGCAGCCCGGGTGCACTAATACCTCATACCGTCCAGGCACACCTCATGAGGGCTCATTCAGGCAGCTCCCTGCGACGCCCGCAGCCCGGCCAGTGCTCCTCCTTCCACTTCTATCATCCCGTGGTCCCCAGGCTGCCAATCAGGGCCCGGAGGCCCCCTGTTCAAGGGGTGACTCCTAGACTCCAGTTTCTGCCCTGGGGGCTCCAGCTGGGGGCACGTCCTGCCTGGAGGGGCCTCTTCACAAACAGGAGGCAGGCGACTGTGACCTGATGTCCAGCAGGGGACTGGCAGAGCCCCAGAGCTTCCGTGGAGGTAGAGGTTATCCACTAGATGGGAAAAGCTCTGGGGCTCATGGTCCCCATCCTGCCTAGGAGACTGTGGAAGATGAAAGAAGGCCACCATAGTCACTGTGACCTCTCCCTCTGCTCCCCTTGAATCTGTGCTGGCCTTGGGTGACCTGACTGTTGTGGGAGGAGTGTTTGGGGACCTCAGAGGTGAGGTCTCTTGCAGGTTTGCAGCCTCCCCCTGGGCACCTCCAGTGCTCCAGCTGACGGAACCCAGCTGCCGCCGCAGAGTCTGGCCACCCAGAGACCAGTGCAGTCCCAGAGACAGGGGAAAGGAGGGGACGTGAGGGGGAGAGAATGGCCGGAGGCCTCCCCCAGGCCCCTGCTGCCCCAGCCACCCCCACCCAGGTGCCCAGATGTGTGCAGAAGGCTTGCGGTCAACTCCAAGTTCAACCCACCGGGCTGCACCTACACGGCTCCAGCCACCAAGGCTCAATGGAGCCATCGATCCACAGAGCCACAGGAATGACAGCAGCTAGCCTTAAGCCACCAGGCTCAGGATGGCCTTTGACCTGATAATAAAGAACTGGGCCAGGGGTAGAACCCAGGAAGCCACCCACAGCTCTGTGGGGACAGCTGGGAAGCCCAGTCTCTTTGCTGGGAGTTGTGGCGGAGGGCTCCCTGGCCTCTCCCTGGCCTCTGACTGGTCTGCGGTGACAAGAGGCTGGGCTGGGGCTGGGGACGGGGTGACTTGGCTGATCTTTCTTTCGGGTGGACACTGGGAGCTGAAGGAAAGAGCACTCAGGTCGTCTGTCACCCCATGTCCTCCTCTGCCGACACCTGGGGTCCACCACCTACTTCTTCAGCCCAGGCAGGTTATGCACCACACAGAAACGGCCCAGTTTGGCCAGATTTCGGGGGATCTGGCTTAGAGTCAAGGCATCAGAGAGCAGGCGCACAATCCCGCCCCCAGGGGTGCTGGGGTGCACCTCCAAGAAATCAATGGTGGCCCAAAGCGGATGAAAGGAAAGAGAAGGAACAGAAGTCTGGAGACACCCTCCAGGAGAGACAGGCCGCTCCTTCTAAGATGCATGACGAGAGAAACACACAGGGTTTAAAGTGTGTGTGTGTGTGTGTGTGTGTGTGTTTGTGTGTGTGCGCAAAAACATACACTCCAAATTAACCATCGCAAGCCTAGACCTGAATCATGAGTTGCTTATTGGGGATCTCGCTGGTTCTCCGGGGTCAACTCCGTGTGGCCTGCTCTAGGGCAAAGGGCAGTGGGAGTTAATTGCTCAGCCGTGGTTAATCATTCCCCGGGTACCACTGGGGAGGTCTATGCAAATTAATCCTCACCGGACTTGCTGGCTGCTTGTCCGCGTCAGGCTCTCTTGTCACTGAAGAACCTTCTAGGTAGCATCATTTTCTTGTCGGCAAGGAAACCCAAGTTCAGGGACATTGGGCACCTTGACTAAAGTCACAGTTAATAAGTGGCAGAGCCACATCAGGCCCCACGTGGGTCTGACTTTAAATCCTCGGTTCTTAACTGTACTCTGGCTGTACTAAAATTAATTAGTTCCTCGGGCGGCGTTGAACAAGGGCTCTCGGGCGATTCTAGCTTCTGTCATTTAGGGTGAGCTAGACGCAAGGGCCCGGGCCTGGAAGGACTTAGGGATGCTCTGAGCTCGGTGACATGTACTCCCAAGTGCCATGTGCAGGACAGGTGAGCAAGGTGCTGCTGCCCACCCACTCAGCTCTGTGACCCCGGGCCCAACACCAAATCCAGGTCACCCGAGATATTTGGGGTGAGTTCAGCCATCCAGAACACCTCTGGGCCCTTTGGCCACCTCTCACCTGCCAGCCTGCAGCACCCCGGAAATGCTGAAGAGCCCAAAGTCCGTGATGACCACTTTGCCGTTGTCGTAGAAGACGTTCTTGGATTTGAGGTCCTTGTGAAGGATCCCCTTGGCGTGGAGGTAACCCATGCCCTGCAAAACGTAAACACACGGGGGCCCCCCCATCGGTCACCCTCGTGGGGAGTGCACTCCTGTCCCGCCACCCTTGGAGCCTGGAAGTGGGGTGGGGGCAGGCACGGCAGGGGGAACAGATCACCCCCCCATCACCAACCTGCCACTCCCCTCAGACCACTTCAAAGCCATCTCCATTTAGCTGGCTTGCTTGAGAGGGGGCAAGGTCCCCAGAGGAAGAAATGACATCAGCCACCTTCTCCCACTTCCCCTTTAAAAACTAACTCCTCTGCAGTTCCTGCTCGTTCCCAGGGAGACGAGGAGCAGGGTCCACTCCTGGGGGTCTGGCTCAAGGGCAAACACAGAGATTTTGTTTGTCTTTGTGAACAAGCTCATCTTCCGCGTCTTCTCAGGCTCCTAACTCTTCCAATGGGCAGTAGAAGTGCAAGACCAACTGACTAACAAGGTACCTGCAGGAAACCCAGGGTCTTCCTGCTTGTTTTAATCCCAAAGGGACACTGAGGACCCATGATTCCCCAGCAGCTGTGCAGGGAGATCATTTGTGCTGCTGGGAATTCAAGGACTCCAAGAAAATGGATCCCAGCCCAAGAACTGAGCAACCTGTGTGCCCACTGGCCCTCGCAGAGGTCAGAGCACCCTGACGATGAGATGCCAAACAGAGACCAAAGGCCACTCCCAATGGTCCTATCAACAAAATCCTGACTTTTTGCACAATCTGGTGTATATATATATTTTTTTTTTGGGGGGGGGCAGATACCAGGGATTGAACTCTGGGGCACTCGACCCCTGAGCCACATCCCCAGCCCTATTTTGTATTTTATTTAGAGACAGGATCTCACTGAGTTGCTTAGCGCCTTACTGTGGCTGAGGCTGGCTTTGAACTCACGATCCTCCTGCCTCAGCCTCCCAAGCTGCCGGGATGATGACAGGCGTGTGCCACTGCGCCCGGCACAATCTGGTATTTTTCAGGTCAAGTCTGATCTCTTTGAAGTCCTGATGGGCCAAACCCAGACCCTGAGTGTCAGGATCCCCAGGGGTTTCCCAGGGGGGGCCTGGTCTTTCTGAGGGTCCGGCAGGGGAGGGGTGCAGCGCCTACTGTACCTTCACAATTTCCTGAGCGATCTGTCTGGTTTTGTTGACATCCAGGACGATCTTGGCATCCCTCACCACCGAATAGAGTGTCCGTCCCTTGCAGAGACTGCAAAGCAAAAGGACAAGACGGTTTACTGAAATGATTGGCAGTTGTTAAGAAGTGACCCACTGCAGTGACGAGAAGTCACAGATAATTGGGTGGAAGGGCCGCTCTGGTACCTATGGGTTAACGACCGACGACCCGGGACCAAACCTCAGATCTGGTTCTGGGATGAAGACCTGGGGCAGAGGTTCTCATAGATTCTTCGAGAATTCCCAACAAGTTCCCGGGATGCAAAGACCCCTGCAGAATCTAGCCCCGTCCAGAGAAGGGGGTGGCCACCGGCTGTGTATCCCAGGGTCCCAACAATGGAAAGCCATGCAGAAACCACCCAGCGGATGGTGGGTCCTCAGCTGTCACTCAGACAGCTCTCTGCCTGCCTGTGTGTGGGGACAGTGACAGGAGACTAACAGTGTGGCAGCTGATGTGTGCTAAGGACCATCAGCAAAAGCGCCTTGGTCCTCGAGGCGGGGCGTGTAAACCCCAGTACACCCCCCAAACCAGACGCCTGAAGAGATGGAGGGTTTTCACACTATTTTCAGCCTCATTGAGTTCATTTCGAGGACCAGTGGCTCAAGATGAATGACGGGATGGGAAAAGGGACATTATGCAGTGACGGTAACACCTCTCATTTAGCCTCTCGCCTCCTCCATCCTGCTCCTCCACTGTGAGCCCCCGTCTGGGCACACTCAACGGGCAGAGGATGACGAGTGGATGAATGAATGAATTCTAGATTCACCACGGTGTCCCTGGCCCCCCGCACTGGGACTGGCTGAATGAAGAATGTCATCATCAAAAGCCCTGGTTGTGTATGCGATTTTTCTGAAATTGCATTTCCGGCAGTTGAGCCAGAACTGTGGAAGCATCTCAGAATTCCAGCCCTTGCTCTTCACTTACTGTATATCGTAAAATGGGTTACTGAACCTCTCTGGGCCTTAGTTTCCTCTTGGTGATGCACACCTTGCAGTTGGATTTGACGACTGAATGAGATAAAAAGAGTTGAGAACAATGCTTGGCTCTTGGTGGGAAGCACATATCACACCAGTTAGGCACACAGGGGTCTAGAGTCAGACACTACTGGGTTAGGATCCTCATCTGTCAGGTGCCGGCTGTGTAACCCCGGGGAAGTTTAGTTCCCCTCTCTGAGCCTCAATGTCATTATTTGTGAAATGGAGCCAAAGGTTCCTGTCTCTTAGGATTATGGAGAACCACCTGAACTTAGATGTGTCAGGGAGTAGGCACTTCTTCATGCACACATATGCTTGTGCAGACATATAAATGATATATTTTTACACATTTCACACTACCCCTACCCTGTATCTCCAATCTACCCCCCGCCATAAACAAACCCATCCCCAATGCTCCCTATAGCAGCCATGATCATATATATATATTGGGGGGGATTGATCCCAGGGGCCCTTAACCACTGAGCCGCATGACCAGCCCTTTGAATATTTTACTTTGAGGCAGGGTCTTGTTAAGTTGCTTAGGGCCTCACTAAGTTGCGGAGGCTGGCTTTGAACCCTCGATCCTCCTTCCTCAGCCTCCCAATCCGCTGGGATGACACGCGCGCACCCCTGCACCGGGCAGTAGCCGCAGTTTGACTGAGGCGGGCTTCTTCACCTGCCTAAGGTGAGATTCCCGGGGCAGCTGCATCTGTCCAGACAGGGAGTGTGACTCACCTGTCCAGGGTCACCCGTACTCCTCAGGAGGCTGCCCAGATGACTCAAGGCTGTCTCCCTCTGCTGTCCCTGCTGGGGTGTTTGCTGAGCCCCCCCCCAGCCAATTAAGACATATTGACATTTAAATATTGGGGGTGGCGGAGGCGTGGGTGGATTCCCTCCCCTGGGCCCTTTGTTCTGAAGAGCCACCTACACTCATTACAGGCCAGGTTCCTCCCCGTGCTGCCGCAGAGCAAATAACGGCAACAGGCTCCAAGATTCCCGAGTCTCTCCAGCGTCACTGCGTAAAAGTCACAAGCACCGCCAGTTCCTCTTTAGCCCCGACAAGCCAGCACCGGGAGCGGAGTAGGAATCGGGGCAGCCCCCCTTGGCCGCACCCACCCAGTGAGACCCACAAAGAGCCCAGCGTCAGCGACTCCTCTGAGAGCGCTCAGCCTTTTGGCCCCGAGTACGCCAGGTCACTAGCCACCCATCCACCATGGCAACAGCCTGACTCACTGTGTTCCCCTGGGATTCCCAGGTTGAAACCCTCACCTCGTCCTCAGGGGTGCTAGGAGTCGGGAGGGCCTTGGAGGTGACCAGGCTGCAGAGTCCCTGGGATGGGACCAGGGCTTTAATAAAGGGCCTCCGGAGAGTGCCACCGCTCCCTGTGGGCACAATGAAGAGGTGGCCCTTGGAACCCAAGGAGAGTCCTCGTTGGAGCTGGACGGTGCCGGTTCCCCAATCTCACCCTTCCAGCCTCCAAACCCCGAGAGGAAATTTCTGCTGTCCACAAGCCGCCCAGGCCGCATGCTCGGTTTCGCACCCGAACTCAGATCCAGCCCAAGTGTTCACCAGCGGAACAATGGACAGACTGCCATCTGGCCACCCAAGGGAATCCGTCCACACCACACGGTGTGAAAACAAACCACTGCTCACGGCCAACAGCAGGGACCAGCCCACAAACGCAGCACTTGAAGCCAGATACACGAGACCTCGGGAAGATTGTGACACTATCAAGTGCCGAGCGCAGGGAACTCATCTGGGTGCTGAAAGCTATTATAGGACTGAGCTCTGTGTGTGTGTGTGTGTGTGTGTGCATGTGTGTGTCAGAGGGAGGCTGGAAGGAGCCTTTGGGGTCTGGGACAGGCAAGGACTGAGTGGAAACTCCGTGGGCTGGGCTCCCCTGGTCTGGCCACTCGTGTAGGTGTGCAATCTTTAGAGAGGGTCCCTTTAAAATTTTCAGCAAGAAAGGGATGAACAATTGGTTCATGGTGACCAACAACGGTCACCTAAAGGATCCATTTCTCAATCCTTCATAAGCATTTTGCTATAGAGAAAATAAACCCCGGGCTCCAGGCCCGGCGGCAACCCACGCAGGTCTTTATTAGCGGCCGGGGTAGGGACAGGCGCAGGGGGAAGGCCAGCTCGGCCGAGCAGACAGCGCACCCAGGGTGACCGAGGCCGAGAGCCCGGGTGTCCATGGAAACTGCTCTGAGCAGAGACTTCTCGTGGTTGGCAACGGTGCCCTGATAGCAGGGGGTGGGGAGAAGGGGGTGCAAAGGGTTCACTGAGCACGTGGCTGGGAGCCAGGCTCACCCCCAGAGTCCTCCAGACCCTCCTGCGAGGTCTCCATTACTACCCTATTTTACATGAGGCCTGGAGGCCACCAGGAGCAACGACCACTGTCCACACATGGCCACGATGGCCACACGTGGCTGTTCCCACCCTCCTCTCATCTCCTCCCCCTGCTGTGAGGTCCTCTATCATCCGAAACCTTTTCCTGATGCTAGGGAAGCAGCCCACCTTTGTAGAGGTGAGCAGAGTGAGCCTGAATCCCCTCTGCCATTGACCGCGTGTTGAACAACGGTGGCTCCAGCCTCGGTTTTCTCATCTGTAAAATGGGACCGCAGAAGCAGCGGTCCAAGCTAACGCAGACCAAGAGCCTTCTAGGCTCCAGACGCCAGCCCATGCACAAGAGCCCCACGAGGTGGGTATCCTTGCTGCCTGTCACTGAGTCCAAGATGCGCACCTCCCATTTCAGTGTCTCAGAGACCAGCATGCGTTTTGCAACCGCCCGCAGGACACAATTTCTTTGGCACTGTTTCTTTCTTTGTAGTCCATAAAAACCAATGATGCCTAGTCTAAATGAGGGCATCTCAGATTCAGTGAAGTGTGGTACCAGCTCTACAGAGGAAGAAACTGAGGGTCAGGGAGGTTAACTGAGGCTGGAGATTTTCTTTTTTTAATATTTACTTTTTAGGTGTAGATGGACACAACACAAAATGCCTTTATTTTTATGTGGTGCTAAGATCGAACCCGGGTCCCGCCGTGCTAGGCGAGGGCTCTATTGCTGAACCACAATCCCAGTCCCTGTTTTTTTTAATTGGCAGGTAAAATTGTATGTATTTATCGCATACAACATTTTGAAATATGTATACTTTGCAGAATGGCTAAATCCAGTGATTTAGCATCTGCATTACCTTGAATACTTATCATTTGTGTGTGTGTGGGGGGGGAGAACACTTAAAATCTGTTCTTTTTCAAGTATCAAATGCATCCTTATAATTAAATTCACCAGCACATACAAATAGATCTCATGAACATGTTTGTCTAATTAAAATTTTGTGTCCTTTGACCAACACCTCCCCAGTCCCCCCACCTCCCACCTTCCAGTCTCTGTTTAACCCCCATTTTACTTGATTTCTGTGGGTCTGACTTTTCAAGATTCCACATATAAGTGACATCCGGTGGCATCCTGTCTCTCTGGGCCTGGTTTCACCCGTGTTATTGCAAACAACAGAATTCACGTGTTTCTAAGGTCATGAGCCTCCACTGAGCCTGGAAATCACCTTCTCTTTATCTATCTGTCCACTGATGGCCACTGGGGCTGATTCACATCTTGGCTGTCAGGAAGAACCTTGCATGGAGCACACAGTGCCGTTCAATGCGTCCATTTCCTTTCCTTCGACTGTGCACGCAGGAGGCTTGAACTGGGCAGCCTGGCTCTGGATGGTGCTCTGGAGACCCATCTTGGCTTCTTAACAGCTTTCTCTGCAACTTTGGCACATAACGACCTTCCGTAAATGGCAGCTTTAACGTCCACTACCACCGTCACCCCGAGTGATGAAGATGAATGAGGCCTGCTGTCCTTGGGGCCAGAGTTAGTCTGGAGGTCAGTGGAAGGTGTTCCAGTGGAGAAGGACACGGTTAGTGCCTCTGTAGCTTCAAGGCAAGTGCACTCCCAGTACAGACGCACACACTCACACACACGCCTGGGTATCTCTCTAGGCAACAAAAATCATGTTTCTCCAAAAAAGAGGTCCAAGGACTGTGAATTTCCAG